GCAAATCGTCGTGGTGCACGACTCCTGGAGTGGAATGAGAAAAACAATGTGTACATGATCGATTATCGATTTATCATCGGGAATGTTCGATCGGTAGCTCACCCCAGGGCTTCGTTCCATTAAGCATGACAAAACTTGCACGGCCTTGGTAGACGAGTGGTAATTCCAGACCGGAGCTCTGGAGTACTGGGCCATATATGAGCATGGCTGTGAGCTCAGTTGGTTGACCGATGAGCGCGTCCCCGTAGATATGCCCAAAGTCCCGGGCGTTGTTCACGCTAACTGGCTGATCGTTCAGATAAAATTTCCTCAGCTGTTCGCTCACGTGTTTGGAGTGCTCGATTCCCCGTTGATATTGGAAGCTAATGGGAGCCGCATGGTTCCAGTTTTGGGTGAAATTGCGGAATATCGAATCGTCACCCTTCAGTGCCCGCTCGTAAGGATCTGAAATGAATACGAGTTTGTTGTCCTTTCGTAGGTACACCGGAGGAGTGGAATCGCTTACTCAGTGCCAAGCTCATGAACTCGTCCTTGGTGATGCCAGTGATATAGGAACATGCTGGAAACACCTCAGTCGTATCAGATCGGCTGGTTGGGCTGTGAGGAATCTCTCGACTCCGGGGATTTCAGGCTCGACGACGGGAGACCATAGCAAGGTCGGGTCGCCGCACCATTCCTAAAACGATCGGCAAAATTATGTTTTTGTTATTCCCAAATCCAACAATCGATGGAAGGGGGTTGCGGCAAGTCACCAGGAACTTTGGCTGGACATCGCTAATCTTCCTAAGACACTCGATGGACTCATTCAGATTATCAGTGGTACAACCGACGAACCCCGCGTGCTTGGTCACCAAGTGCCTCTGTTTCGTGGGCAAAGGCTCAGGAGTCAATGGAGATCCACTTATGGCACTACCACCCGATGAAACAGACCCACGGACATTGGGGACATCATGTGCAAGATGCAATTCCACGAACCAGCGCTGTATCCTACGTACAATCGTTATCATTATCATCATCATTGTAATCAACATTGTCATCATTTACCAGCTATAGTCACAGAGTTTGGGTCACCACCAAAGGGGGCAATGTTATCTCGTACCCAACGCAGAGGCACTACTTGGTCCTTGAGCCCGAGATTGCCCAGTGCTCTGGCATCGCCAGTGGCCATGAAACCTGACGATGACATCGAGGGTGAATCGGTTGCGTTGGAAAATAGGGCACAGATAATGCTCACCGAAAGAAGCAAGCCGATAATTAACCGTGACGAGGACAATGTCCTGGTCGAGGAAGTACTGAGGGCCAAAAACGTAGCTCTGCCCAGAAAACCCATAAAAGGCACCGGGATGGAAGAATACGACGACCGGCCGGTTCACTCTGTCCTTAGCGCCCGGAAGCTGTAGTTGTAAAGTAAAGTTGTACATAAATCGGGATATCTTTGGTTTGACTGGAGGATACAAAATAAAAATGCGTAATACCTTTGTTGTGTAAACATTGACACGGAGGCAATCCTCGCTGGCCAATTGTGGGACCACGGGAAGGGGACAAGACGGACCTTCCTGAGACGCGTCCAGGATACCGGACCATGGCTCTATGGGCTCGGCCAACTGCAACATGCGACCAGCCGATTGAAAGTAAAAACAATAACGATTATGGCCACTCGAGTGAGCCTTGTACGGTACATTGTGTCAGTTTCGAGGCTGGTGACGTAAGGAGCGTTAATTAACGACTTTCGTTGGTGCGCGTACGAGATTGTACGTGTGTGCAGTTTTTATTTTTAGCTCGAATTACGGGATTTCGTGAAAACAAGCGAGCACGTGAAAATTGAGCACATGCGGGTGGATGAGTCTTATATTTTTCATACGACACGCGCAACGTAAAAACAGACAGCGAGGCAATGCGTGTGTGTATACCGTGTAACACGTGTTAATTTAAAAAAAAAACAAAAAAAAAACTATTACGACATTTGTTTTGCATTAATGATGTGAGTTCATTATTGTAGTTTTATTTGAAGAGATTGTCATTAAATATGCAAGAGTCTTTCAGATAAATTGAAATACACTTCGAAGCAGCGAAGCTAACGCGCTTATCGCTGGTGTGTTTGTTAGGATAACAAAATTTCAGGAAGATAAATTTTGCCAGACACTGGTACGGTGATGATAATTTTTTCCTCGTACGTAACGTATACTTGACGAGAGAGAATCGCGAGGGAGTGGTAAAAATAAAGTCAATGACACCGAAACATCTGCGTTGTTGTAGTCAATTTAATGGATTTTTTTTCTTTGTTTCTATGTAATTTTTTTTTTTTACTTAAAAAATGGAGCTTTGATGAAAAATTATTTTCTTAAATTTCGTACACGATCTTAACTACAACTTTTTGTTTTTTTACTACTACATTTATAAATAATACTGTAGTAAAGTTTTGAAAAGTCATTTTTACATTATTTACATGATTTCGAAGCGAGAAATCGGTAAGGACTATTTTGCCATTTTTTCGAATGTTCCACCAATGTGATGTACCGTCGTAAAATTATCTATTGGCCTTAGTAATTCGAATTTACGAATTTCATGTCAACTTAAACAACGATCGGATAACTATGGTCCACCTTATTTGGTGATCTTGAAGTAATTACCGTGTCATAGCTGTACCTTATCTTATTAATTGAAATTTCTTTTTTCCGTTTTTCTTGGACATTCATCCAGAAGAATTAAAGTATGTATAACACATGTATTTTGTCGAAATAATTTCTTTTGCACCTTTTAAAGAAAAAAAAAAAAAAAAAAAAAAAAAAAAGGTTGTACCAACAAATTGATACAGTTATACAAATATTAACGCATTAAAAACATCTCAGTAAAGAATTTTTTCAACAGTTACGTTTACTTTTGATTTTTTTTGGTGTAAAATCGGCACCTCCTTAAAAAAAAAAAGGCTCCATTTAATGAGTTGCGTCTAGAAATATAAGAAATTTTTCATCTCGTGCTTTTAATTTTTGTATAAAAATCGAGTGGCTTAATCACGTAAATAAACAAACGTTGGGTAACATTGACATTCTCAGGGAGTCGAAGATAACACAACAGCACCACGTGGCACTTGATAGTAATATCATCAATCCCAAACAAATGAAAATACCCAAACATAAACAAACACGCGTCAGCTAAAGATAAAGCGTTTGAGGAAAACTTTTTTTAGTTCACTTGAGGCTGCGGTGAGTCATATCTTGAAATAAAAAAAAAAAAAAAAAAACAAACCACATCTACGAAGGTACAACATGCGTAACATGTACACTCTTATATACCTTGTAGCGCCTCTCGGCTGCGGTAGATTCCCCGTACCTCACGCCGCGAAACGCAAATATCGTCCTGTTCAACCTAGTCGACATCACCGAGCCCCTAACGCGACCTAAAGGGGTTTGCGCCAACGGTTCGTTATCAGCGGCATGACCACTGCAACCCAGGGTGCAAACGAGCACCACCGCGAGACAAAAATACTTCATCGCGACGACCGATATAAACGTGTTTACTCGATCACGCGATTAGTCGAACTGATGCTAAACTCTTGCAAACGCCACGTTTTTATTACATACGCTCCTATTTGTGCATCACGTGCGAGTTGGGTTTTTCGTGTATTTTGTGTAATATATACATAATATATAATAATAACCCCGATTCCGCGTAAGGAAAGTTTGATGTTTTCTTTTTTTTTTTTTTTTTTCAACTGCTATCTTTCCGGCGCGTCATGTTTTTGTACCTACGCGTTGCGTCATTAGTTTTCCGTTGGCCTTTCGGTTTCGAGCGATACATGTGTCCCGTCGTCGTCTCTTCTGAAAATCCGAGTGCTCACAGCGTGTGATAACGCGTGGATTTTCCATAAAGCTTTTCGTGTCATTAGTCGTACGAAAGTGGATATATTGCAATGGTTGATTATGCAACAAGTGCAGGGAAGAGGATTTCTTGCTCGAGGTGTGTGTGATGGACGTACACTCATCACACGCGAGTATGGAAATAATGGAAACTTTTTACAATGTGCAGAAAAATTTATCTGGTTTGTTATTCCAAATATTGTTATGAAAAATGAAGAATAAAATTCACACCTAAATTATCGTCCATTTTTGGGTTTTAAACAAATTTTCATTATGAATAATTTGTGGTCCCAGAAATTTATACATTCTGTGAATGACTAATTGCTTGGTTTTTTTTTAACTCCAAACAACAAAGGCTGTTTCTTTGTGTTGATTTTGAAACACTTGTAAGAACATTTTTTTCCGAGTGAAGCATATTCTTATAGACGACGAAATTTTTTATTCCTCTTTATTTAGAATACAATATTAAGAAACAATTTTTTTGGCAGATAAGTGCAATAAGTTTACATTTAAATATTTTTTCAAATACATTATTTTTTTTTTTTTTTCTCAACTAGTTTACTCTTTTAAACCCATAATGTATTGTCATTGCTAAAAAAAATTTTGTTACGCATTACGTTATAACTTGGAAACAAATTTTTTTTAGCATAACCAATAATACATAACATTTGTAGCAAAAAATTTATATATTTTTTAAAAATTAAGAAAGTATGCGTGCCAAAGTCTACGCACAGGTAGTTGTTTTATGAAAATGACACCACATTTATTTTACTGAAAAATTATATTTATATTCAGTTTAAGTTTTTGTTTGACACATTAGGATAAAGTTGCTAACACAAAGTTTAAAAATAAAAATAAAAAAAATAAAAATACAGCTTTTCATACACAACATGATATATGAGTGAGTCTTTTGTAATTACAATAAAAATACTAATTTATTCTACTTCAGCGAAAAATAGAAGGAAAACACGTTGTTTCCTTGCTTGGAAATATAGATGACGTTGTTACAAATGAGTTATAGAACACTATTAAAAAAGCTCTTTGAATAACGATAGTACTTGTGTTGTTTGTTCGATACCAACGATTAAAAAAAAAAAAGTCTAATGTTTATTGCCAAAAGGGTGTAATAAAATAAACTGCGTAGATTTTCGTTGAAAAATTTTTTAATGAAACACTGCGTCTTTACCACAGGGTAATCACAGTTGGTCCGATTACACGCAGAACGAAGAATCTAAATTGGAAATAATCTGTCATAAAGAGCGTATCTCTCTGGTATCATGTTTGTCTTCAACCTCCATTCGTCCCCAATTTCAAGATAATTTTGCTCATCTGGAGTCAAAGTTTTCCAGGTAACACCTTTGAACAGTTGATTGTTTTTCGGCACCGGCTCTCCAGTTTTTGCAAAACTGTACCACATCTCCGTCATCTTATCGATCATTCGGGCTTCCGGATCGTTTTCCTTTATCATAGGGAACATGAACCACATGAAAAACAAATACTGCAGATCGTCGTGATGCATGACACCTTGAAATAAAAATAAGAATAAAAAAAAAAAGAAGCCAGAAAATCTACAGTAAAGAAGGTTTATATGACAAGTGTGTACCGTAGGGCTTGTTGGTGACATTCCAAATATTGAAACTGTACCTGCCCTGGTAGACAAACTGGTAATTGTAGACGGGGGCGCGCGAGTACTTTGCCATAAGTTTGGCGAATCGCTGGGTTGAAAAGCTTATACCTTCCGCGTAGAGCTTGGAAATTTTTTTTTTTTTTTTTTTTTTTTTTAATCATGAAAACTCTTTCCATTTTTTACAATCTAATGCACACGTCCATGTACTCACCACCCCGAGATTTCGTCCGTTTTTCAACGTGATTGGCTCACTGTTGAAGTAAAACTTGTTCAACTCCCCGCTGATGTACCTCGAGTGCTCGGTATTGCGCTCGTACCCGAAACATATGGGCGCTGCGTACTCCCAATTGTCGGTGAAGTTGCGGAATATCGTGTGGTCGCCCTTCATCGCTTGCTCGAGAGCCCCTGCAATTATATTTTCACTCATATAATCACGAAAAATGATGAATTTTATCTTCCACTTACTGGGGGTTATTCCCACCCACTCGTCTTTCGTGATTCCGGCGATGACCGGGACTTGGTAGATTTTTTTTTGTTTGATCAGCTTGGCTGGCTGGTCGGATATGAACCTCTCGACCCCGGGCACCTCGGGTTCGACCACCGGCGACCAAATCAAAAGTGGATCGTCGTACCATTCCTACGTGAGATGCACTAGTGAATGTATACGCTGATGTTGAAAAAATGATCATTAAGAATGAAACATAACAATATATGTATATACAACTCATTGTGTCGTGATTGATGTCATCCGTGGGAGACTATGGTTGTAAAAAAGCATCAAAAGGGAATATACCGATCTTGACTCACTGCAAATTTCAAGGTCGCATTACTGAGCACCTGGTGGGGCACATTTTTCAGACACTCGATAGAATCGTCTAAACTGCCAGTAGTCGGGCACCCCACAAGGCGGGCATGTTTGTCAATGAGGCCTTTCTGCTCCGTCGGTAAGAGCATCTGACCGACACCGGCGGCCCCGCTCATCACCACGACCCGGTGGAAAAGATTTTTGCTCATGGGTGACAGCAGGTGTAGACTGATGCTCCAAGCGCCGGAACTATATCCGGTCAAGGTCACACTGTTGGGGTCCCCACCAAAAGACGCGATGTGCTTTTGGAGCCAACGTAGCGCCACCACTTGGTCTTTCAGGCCGAGGTTACTCGGGGCTCTGGCGTCGCCCGTGGATATAAATCCTTTTTAACATTGGATGATATATATTTTTGTTTTCCCAAAATTTCGTTGCGTTTGTACAAAGTATTTTGTATTTACCCAGTGTGTGGAGTCTGTAATTTATGGTGACCAGAACGACATCTTTGTCGAGGAGGTACTGGGGTCCAAAAACGTAACTCTGACCCGAGTAACCGTAGAAGCCTCCCGGATGTAGAAATACGATAACCGGTCGTTTGACTTTGTTTTTCGAATCCGGCAACTGGAAAACGGTGGGAAAAAACTGAGTGATGGTGAAATGAAAATTTTATCAAATGACAAAGTTCAAAATTACTTTTGTCGTGTAAACGTTTAATCGCAAACAATCTTCACTCGTTAGTCGTGGTACGGCGGAAAGAGGACAGGACGGACCTTCTTCCGAGGCGTCAAACACGTTGGTCCAAGACTCCACGGGCTCGGCTTGCTAATGATATCATAATCACGAAATCAACTAAAATTGTTGCGAGAAATTATGTTTAAAAAAGAAAGTAAATAAATAAAAATTCATCACCTTAAAGCGTCTCTGTCCTTCGGTCGATTTGCCATATCTGACACCTCGAAACGCAAATATTGTTTTATTCAGTCTCGTTGACATCAGTGATCCTCTGATGCTACCCAACGAGGTGTGCACCACAGGATTATCATTATTCGCCGCGTTGCTGATGCAGACCAAAGCTGATAACGTTGTTATTACTAAAATCAGCGACATGTTCGCTCGACCGTGGGTACATTCATACTGACGCCAAATCCTCGAGTTATCGTATTTATACAGCCACTGCGGCTGCTGCAGCAGCACTATTTACAGTATTTTTTCCTTTTCTTTCATGAAGTGCACGCAATCTTGCGTGAGCTCATTTTTTTCCTTCAGATTGTGCCATATGTTAAATTAATGCATCTAATTAATTTACTTGGTATTTTTCTCACTGACATATTTACAATGTAGTAAGGAATAATCAGAACTTGAGTCACAAAGAAAGAAACAATGTTATGACGAGATACTAAAACAAATATTCACAATTTTGTCTCTGTACAACCAAAAACATCATTAATTTTTGTTAGATATTGCTCGAAACATCTATCAATATTGTCACAACTTGAATAAATAAAAAAGGAGGTTTAAAATAATTAAAGACGTAGAAAAGATTTACGTTGATTATAGTTTATTTCAAGTTTTAGCAACCAATAAAGTACCTACAAAATAACACGAAAAGATAAACTCAACATAAAGTTTGTATGTGCAATTAAGAGCCCATACATGCCAAAATGTTCAAAATAAAAAATTTTCTTTACGCTGTGGTTGACAAAATCGGTTTCAACGGGAATAGCCTGTCCCAAAGCGCATACCTTTCCGGGAACATTTTATTTTTCATCTTTAGTTCATCTCCAACATCGAGATAATTTTCTTTTTTTGGGTCCAGAGGTGTCCACGAAACACCTTTGAAAAGTTCATTATGCTTTGGTATTGGTTGATCGGAATCAGCAAAGCTTTTCCAAATCGAAGTCAACACCTTCACCATATAAGTCTCAGGAAAATCTTCGGTGAAGAATGGAAATCTGGACGACATGTAGAAAAGATACTGGAGATCGTCATGATGTACAACACCTGTAATTTTATAAAGTTTTTCAAACAGTTGGTGAATATTGAATTGTAAAATTTGAGTGTAGAATTAAAAGTTACCATAAGGTTTCTTGGTATCTTTCCACATGGCAAAGCTGTACCTGCCTTGGAAGGTAAATTGATAGTTGTAGACCGGCGTTTTCGAGTATTCCGCCAACAGCATTGCTCCCCTATGTGCTGGCCAGCCAATTAACGAATCTGCGTAGATCTAAACACCAAAAAAAATTTTTAATTTCTTGCCATCGACATGCACACTGTTTCGATCATCGAAACACATCCTTACGAGTCCAAGTTTTTTGCCATTTTTCACGGTAAGTGGTTCATCGTTCAGATAGAATTTTTTCAGCTCTTTGCTAATGTACTTGGAACGCTCGGTCTCTCGCTCGTATTGAAAACTAATCGGTGCCGCGTGTTCCCAATTTGCAGTGATGTTTCGATAGATCGAATCATCTCCTTTCATTGCCCGCTCCAATGCAGCTGCAAAAATAAAATCCCTAAGTATTATTTCAAGTTAATTACTACATAAGTCTAGTAGACAGCTTACGAAGAGGAGCTCCGGAAAATTCGTCCTTAGTAATGCCTATCATCACTGGAACATGTTGGAACTTCCCCTGGCGGATGAGGTCAACCGGCTGAGCTGTCAAGAATCGTTCGACTCCTGGGATTTTTGGTTCCACAACTGGCGACCAAATCAAAACTGGATCACCGTACCATTCCTGTACTTTAATTATTGTACACTATTCAAACGCTCTCAATGCGACTCTGTTGGGTTTGTATTTAAGTCAATATCCGATGAGATTGATTAATTTTTCAGTGAATACTCATTATACAGAAACAATCTGTCCATCTACCAAATAAATTAGAGGCTACTTACCCATAAAATTTACTTTGAATGTATGGCTATTCACTAGCATAATATACATCAATTCAGTGATCAATAAAAAAAATAAATAAAAATAAAAACAATTTTACCGCAAACTTTGGCAAAGAATCGGCCAACTTCTGGAACGGCACAGTCTTCAAACACTCAAACGCCACGTCGAGACTATCTGTAGGACATCCAACAAAGCTAGCCTGTTTTATGACCAGATGTTTCTGTTCTGTCGGGAGGGGCTCGGGTGTCGTTGGAGATCCACTCATTGCGATGACGCGATGAAACAGACCCACGGACATTGGAGACATCATGTGCAAAATGCAACTCCACGATCCTGCGCTGTGCCCTACATAATCATATCATTAATATCGTTGTCACTGTAGATTACGATTTTAACATTATTATACTAACCAGCTATAGTCACAGAGTTCGGGTCACCACCAAAGGGGGCAATGTTATCTCGTACCCAACGTAGAGCCACTACTTGGTCCTTGAGCCCGAGATTGCCCGGTGCTCTGGCATCGCCAGTCGAGATCATTCCTGCAGTTGCAGATGGATTTATTGTTAGTAATTGGGGGCCCTTTTCATGCTTACGCTAAAACGCTGAAACTCTAGAACTCTTTGTACTATATCAGAACTACATAGCTTTCCTTTGCCGTAGTTTTTTGTTTTAGCGTTCACGAGATAAAGTTGAATCCAAACGGAGTTAGTAGCTTTTAGCTTCACCATGAAAATGGCCCTTAAGTGTATGGCAAGAGAGAAGCTACATGGTCACAATAAGTACCTACATTACAAGAAAGGGACCCTTAGAGACTATGAATGTGAATAGGAGGATGTGCTTTGAGTTGTATTCACCTAACGTAGCAATTCTGTAACCGACGGTAACCAGAACAATGTCCTGATCAAGGAAGTACTGGGGTCCAAAGGCTTTACTCTGGGCTGAAAAAATATAAAAGGCCCCCGGATGGAAAAAAACTATCACCGGCCGTTTTATCCCACATGCCGATCCTGGCAGCTGTTCGGAGACATACAATTATTGTGTAATAGCACGACAACCACAATAAATATTCAAAAAGTCGCTTACGCAGTTGGAGTAAACGTTGAGTCTCAGACAGTCTTCGCTACTTGACGCGGGATCGTCGATTCGAGGACAAGTCGGTCCTTCCTTGGACGCATCGAAAGTGTCCGTCCATGGGTCGTCGACGGGCTCGGCTTGCTATCAATGCGGATAAATGCAGTTGCGTCAAATTGGACAACAAAAGTTGCTGAGTTGATTTTGGCTGATTTACCTTGAAACGTCTCGGGCCTTCCGTTGACTTCCCGTACCTAATTCCTCTGAACGCGTAGATGGTCCTGTTGTTCCTGGTGGACATCAGCGACCCCCTGATTCGACCCAATGGGGTGACGACTTCGGGATCGTTGCCGCCACAGTGAGCCATCGCTGAAAAGTACAGCAGCAGAATTGCTGCTAATTTAAACTCGGGCATCTCTTCGATGGGTCGCTTCGGTGGTACGAGAGCGACTGATGACTCCTCGAGCGCAATCCGGTTTTATGCTGGAAAAAAATTAAGCGTGTGCGTTTTCAGAGAAATAAAAAGCCGAGACCACGTGTATCTCTCTTCGAAGTGTATTAAATAATCTTTGCGTGTTTTCCTTCTTCCTCGTACTCATGAAAAAAGGGGGTAATGAGCGTTTACGCGTATGAAAATACAATGTGTAATGTGTGTGTGGAATAATATTGTGTAAGAACTGATACTCCCTAACGAAGCTGTCGTTGTTATTCATACTGTATTAATTAATTTGATTATTCGTTTTAAATTGAATTGATGAATTACTATTGTTTTACACTGAAATAATAACAATATAACAATAGTTAATAACTAATAATAATAATTATTATTATTAATAATGATGGTAATTAATCATAACTTAAGCAAATTATAACAAATATTAATTGGAACGATTTAAGCAATAATATTTTTGCTTAGTTTATCATCAATTTTTTTTAGCAACATGTTTGATCAAAAGTTGTGTATTCACGCCTGATCACATTACTTATTCAGTTGCTGTTAATTTTTTTAAATTTTTGTTAACGATAATATCAATTGAACATTTGTTTTTTATATTTTAGCACGTGTTTAGACAAATACTTTCACATAAAAATGAAGGTTAAAAAGTAATTGAAATGATGTATTTTACGGTACTTGATACCTGTGGGTAACGATAGAGTACACATGAAAAGATAAAATTGTTTATGGAGTAAATCAACATATTGGTTTATTGATAACAATCTACCAATCCTTAAAAAATTATGTTTGCTTAAGGCAAATAACTGTATTTTGAATAAATTACACCTTCATGGAAAAATATCAATCGCACACAAGCATCAATGTCGCTTAGCAAATGAAAAAAAAAAAAACCGAATTTTTTTTTACTTTATCATAAAAATAATTCTTTCATTACTAAGTATTGTGTAGAGTGACATCAGATTCTGATGTTACATGTTATTTTGTCTTCCACGTACTCCGATGTGAACAAATATTTTCTTATCGCCCAAATCAATGAGAATCATCGTCGCGGCCAGAGATTGAATACTACTAGTAGTAATTTTTATCTTTCATTCAATTTCAAACATGAATAAAAAAAATTTTCGTCAATAAAATAAAACACAACTTTATGCTTAAGAATACTTGCAATGTTATGCAACACTACTGTTTAATATAATAATTTTCACGACGTTTACGGTAATAGGAAAAACAAATAAAAAAATAGGTTTTTGTAAATACTCAGAATTATATTATGTGCATATAAAGCTCTAATTAAATTGACGCGATAATTTACATTTTTTGCTATCATCATACCCTTTTCTTTCCACTCATTCACATTTTTTTCATCTCGACTCTCGATAGAGCTCCTATGCAAATAACAAATAAAGTATTATCCTACAAATAAAACCACAAACTTCTCAGTATTGAATATTTTATTTACAAGTTGACAATCATTTTCTTATGTTACGCCTCTTCGGTTTCATTTTTTTTCTGAGTTTTAATCATTGGCACCCCACGGTATCTTCGTTCTCCTTTTTTTCCGCTTCCTTTTTAGCTTCTTCCGCAGCACGTTTTCTCGCGCGAGCTTGTTTTTCAGCACCAACCGAGTCAAAGAGCGGATCTATCGTTGGATCATCGAAAATGGGATCCACGCATTTTTTCTTCGGCTTGGCCACCTTCTTCTCCGGCTCTTCTTCTCCCTTTTCTTCTTCTTCTACGGGTGGCGTCTCTTCTTCCGCTTTCTTTTCCGGGCACTGTCTCGTGTCCACGAACGGCTTTCTTTTGGGAAGTTTTTTCCCGTACGGCTACGAGTGACAAAAAACGAAATATATTACTTGGTCTCACGAAACCAAAACCTTTGCATGGATCGATGTGTGAACGACTGTGAAGCACAGCTTTACCGGTTTCGGTATTATTGGGCGGCAAAATTCGTCCTTTTCACGAGGCACCGGCATGGGTAGAGTTTCCACGGGATACTTAGGCTTGGCCAGTTCTTCGACGCGAGGCGAGATCTGGGCGGTCATGGCCGATTTCTTGATCTTGAAAGGATCCTTGCAGCCTTTTTCTTCGTGCTTCTTCGGTTTCGCCATTCTTATGATATCTTCCGAGGCTACGGTGGATCAAACGGAGGTAAGAAAATGAGATGTTTTTCGCTGAAATTGGAGAAAAAAAAAAAATCGTCACGTGTCTACCTTCGTAAGTTAGAGCGCATTCAGGAATCTTCCGTTCTAGGCAGCTCATATCCGGTTTGAAGCGCCAGGCCTCCCTCTTTTTTATCCTAAGCTTCTTCTCATCCGGATCTTCTTTGAACACGGGTCTTGGGAACTTCTTCTTCGGTTTCTCATCTGCCGCTTTTGCTTCCGGCTCTTCTTGGTCTCCTTCGGCCACGGTAGTCTTGCTTTTTTGGGACTCCAGCTCGCCCCGGTTCTTCTCTTCCTCAAATTTCTTCTTTCTATCCTCCTCCTCCTCTTTTTTCCGCTTTTCTTCCTCCCTGCGCTTCTTTTCGGCGCGTTTCTTCTTCTGCTCCTCGTACGCCCGTCTGCTCCTCGTCTCGATTTCTCTCAAGAATCGCTCCTTGAACTTCATCGCCAATTCGGTCTTTTGATCCTTCAGCACGCGGTACGAGGGAATCACCAAAAACTCCATCCACTCGGACCACTATAAAAACCACAACAACGACAACAACAACAACAACAAGAACAAGTGTACAGAGCCAGTGTAGGTATAAGTTAACAAGTATATAGGTTAGGGCACCTCAACCGGCTGGGGTTTGTCGCCGGTAGCAGCGGTACATTCCTCGCTCTTGAACCTCTTGGGTTTCGAGAGCTCCTCATCCTTACTGCTAGGTTTCCGCTTCAGAGCTGCCGGGGACACGAAAGTGTCGTCCCTGCAGTCGTCGGGTTCTGGTCGATCGATTGGTTCGCTCAGCATTATAATGGCATTGCTCGCCTTGTACTTCAGAGCCGCCCGGCTAATCCCCCATTCCCGGCAGTCGTCCGATTCGTCCCGGTCTAACGGCTGGGCTAGTTGTTTCAGCCGTTTACTGGCCTTCGCCTTCAGTGCGGCTTTGCTGATTGTGCGAAACATGCATTGAGGGGGTGTTGTGCGCACCGATGGTTTCGATAACCCGTGGATGCGTTTTTTCAGATATTTCAGGGGTTTCGATTGGCGCTCCTTTTTTTTCGGGAGAAGGGCTGAGTTAGCTGGTGTTTTCGTTTTCATTGCGGCGATTGGTGTATAACTTACGATGGGTTCGGGTTCAGGTAGCTTTTTGGGTAGTGCATTTTTTGCGGCCCAAGTGTCGAACTTTTCCCAGTCTTCGGGTGTCTTTAGCCAGCAGGTTTTCAAGCACAGTTTTCTCCTGCGAACGAGTAATTTTTTTTTTTTCTATTCCATCGGCACTTTTTTTGTAGTATCTATGGGTGCTTGCTTACGGTTTTTTCAACTTTCTCTTCAGCTTCTTCCGAGATTTCTTGTTTTCACTGACAGAGGCCTGCTTTTCTTGCTTAGCCACGGGTGCCATTTTACAATTTTTTTGGCTTGTTTTTTGGTTTTTTTCAGTTAAATTGGTGAAATTTTGAGTCTAAAATAATATCGAAAGTTGGGTTGTGTGGTTAATTTTGAATTTCATACGTGGCGTTGATCAATATGAAGGTAGGATTGAATGGGACCAGTCGAATTTTACATTTTTTTTCAAATCTTTTATTTTGTTACGGAAATTTTTTATGTAAAAAAAATTATGTTATAGATTACTCGTAGAGATATATAAAAGCATAAATTATTACGCATGGACGGATCATTTCAATACATAATCTTTTACTGTGTAAATTTCTTACACTTAAATGGACGGAATATGTTTCGTATGAAATCCTGAAATTTGCAAAAGTCGTAAAAATAGTTTTGAGATTATTCATACGCTTCTATTATTATTCTTAACGATAATAAGCGATTCTCTCTAACTACGCGAACTTCGCTTTAAAAGCGGAGCTTGGTACTAAATTACTTATATTTTAAAAACTATGTACAGTAGTGAGATTCTACTTATGAAGAAATTCAAGCAATCGTTTTACAAGTTTTGGTGTAAAAAGTTTAAAAAAGCATACGAAATTGTAGATGCATCGACAATTTTCAAGTTATACTCTCGTTAATTGATAAATAACGTTTTTTAATATTTTGTACTTTGAATATATATATTTTAAGATATTCTTATCTATGCAAAAATTAAAAAAAACAATGAAACCTACGGCACTTGAATTTGAAAAAAACCGAGTATCTTGAAAATTACAAATCACTAGTGTATGATTCTTAAAATACCTTATTCACAGACTTTTTATTTATTCATACAAAAATTGTTACTTTAACTTATCGCAATCAGATCCGCAAGTTTATAAAAAAATTTCGTTCGAATAAAAACTATCTCTCCCCATACTTTGTAAAAAGCTCCAAAATAATAACTCTTTTATCTTCCAAATACGAGCGTCATCATCATCATAACCAGAGTTCCGACGATGGAAGGCACATCAACTGCAGAACCTGCAGTACAGTCCACGATACGTCTAGCCCTCAAAAAGTCCTCGCCGAGGTAGGCAATGTAATTTCGTTTCTCAGGCGGAATAACGGCCAACTGTTGCGTTGCGTCTTGGAAAATAAGGTCGCTGTAAGGTGGCTGACTGTAGAACATTGCAAACGTGAAATCGTCTTTGTTCTTTCTACCATAAAACTGCTGTGCGTATATCAACAGGTTCAAGTACGCATTTATCTGCAACAATTGCAACCAAAAGATTCTTTATCAGTTATGTAATTTTTTTAATAGTGTAATGTTATAAGTGGTCACGTATACAAGCCTACCTGCGTCTCATTGTACCCGTAATAGCCGCCACGAGTAACGACAGCATTGGCTGCAATTTTTCCAAGATTACAGTCATGGTACTCGAGGGTGGATTTGCGAGTTCCATCCGGACAGAGAAGCTGAAGGTCGGTGGTGAAGGTGTTTCGGGCCCAGAATTCTCGGCGTTTGCCGTCAGTGTTCTCGGCAACTGTCGTATGTTTAACAAAGGCAACGTCACCACCGCCCTCGACTAGACAGCGAATGGCGCCCGTGTGGCCGTAATAATCCTCGGAAGCGTCTCGTCGGCAGTAACGATCTTTCGTGCCGTGGCACAAGTCGCACATGTTGTCATCGGGCACCCCTGTTGGAATGCGAAAAAAATTATTTTCATCAAGGAACAAGTTCATTGCTGCGAATGGAAAACAAATGTAAAAAACAAAATGTTAATCTCACTAGTGTTGTACTCGGTGTTGCGCGCGCCAGGCACGCAGGACTTTGAGAAGTACTCGGACGCGGCGCGAACCGAGTCACATCCATAACCACGGATCCAACTGTTGGACAGTAGATAAGCCATCGGGTGAACCCATCCCGCAGCTGTGTTGATACCGGGAGAACAGGTGTTCTTTGTCTTGAGATACGTGAGATCGGTGCTGTTGTCCTCTACCTTTGCCACTGCGACGGCGTAATAAACTGGAGAACCCAAGTTGTAGACTTCGGAAATGAAGGGTATGAGCTCGTATCGCTGGCCAGCCGTGTAAACGTCACCCGCGTCCAGAACCGTCACGTCGGCTTGACCGTTTTGTATGGCTTGCATGCAGTGAATGTGACTTTGGCCCTTGAAGCACAGCAACTCTGGCTGCATCAGCTGGGCTTTCAAGGCAATCTACGACGGTAAATAACATTTAGAATCGATTTCCAGAACTGTCAATGATAAATTGTGTAATTGAATTACCTTCATCTTGGTACATTTCTCGAATTCAGGCTCTGAGGTGACGCACAGAGTCATTCTGTTCACTGGGCATCTTCTCACGGCATATATCATCTCCAAGGACTTTTTCAGATAACCAGAGAAATTCTGATCCGAGTCTTGGATGCGCACAAAGTCCTTGGCTACATCCTGAATGATTGGCACGTGCGTAAGTATTAAATGTTTTTTTTGTTTGTTTTTGTTTTAATCACGTAGAGTAAGTTTAAAAAATTACCGAAAACAAAAGATTGTGTTGTCGGCCGTAGCGAGGCGCCGACTCGAACAGGTGAAACTTTTCGATCGTTTGAATATTCGGCTCTTGCGTGCTCCTGTCTCTGTCATCGAACCCAGAGGTGGAGAAGTTGTTGTAATTTTCCCGTCTGTTGTAGGAATTGTAATGATCGCGGTTCTGATCGTCGTTGAAATCTCTGTCCTCGCGATTTTCCGAGCGATTGTTGTGAAACTCGCTGTCAGACTGTCCACTACGGTCTGCGTGTTTGCCGAATATTCTAACAGCTTCCTCGAGGAACCTTTGATACAGTTTACGTTTCTCTTGATTCGTCGCGGACGAAACGACGATGGCATTGGATGGAATTTCTCCCCAGTTGCAATGGGCGTATTCGTTTATGTCCCTGCGAGATCCGTTGCGACACAAAAGTTCGTACTTTTCTTTTTTGATGGAATCTGAAAATGAAAAATGACGATGAGCTACCAAATTTGCCATATAAATCGAAAAAGCGCATACTCATTTTTTTTTTTTNGTCAAAAAACGATGCGCAATACTATACTCCCGCGACATGTATAAGCATACTGAGATATAAGGGCACGTATAGGAGAGATGATTTTGGTGCTCAATTGCAGAGGCGCCAATTCGATTCAAGGCCAAAGTCATGCGTGCCGGTGCAATGTATATGATCTCGCAGCTACGGTTTATGCACGAGCTTCGTATAATTAAAGAAAAACTAATTTTCTCATGTTACCATGAACGTTTTTTTTTTTTTTTTTACTTTATTGATAACGCTCGTTGCAAAAGTCAATCGGCTTATCGTTACCCGAGTTTAAATTGATAACAACAAATATCACACCATCAGCTCCAACGTATCTTCGATGTACAAGATAGATAAAAATTCTACCTAAAAATTGCAGCACATTGCAAAGCAACAAAACAAACGAATCGTTTTTTCATTGCATGTAGTAATAAATACAATATCAAGTTAGCCTCCCTCGGATGCTCCGAGTCAATATAAAAATTCCAACTTTTGTAATCGAGAAAATATCGTCAGATTATCTTGATTAGTATCGTAGAAATGTCGTTTTTCTTTTCCTATAATGTTTTCCACGAATGATAGAAATATTGGAAGAAAAATATTATATTTGCTATAAATGATGCAATACGACATTATACAAATGGTCAATATTATTTCTGCACGTGGTACTATTAACATCGGTGCAGAGCCTCTGTTCTTTTATCAAGTATTTTTTTTTTTTTTTTTTTTTCTTACGTAGTTCAAAGTTAGTGCTGGTCATTTCATCAACAGTGGTATGGACCAGGAAGGCAACGTCGCCAACATCGACCAGACATTTGAAGGCTCCTTCGTAGCCAGCGTAAGGGTCAGCCTTGGTGCACTTGCCACCAGGTATTTTGCCGATACAGAGCTCGCACAGCTGATCAGAATTGTCTCCAAGAGGATTGTAGATGTTGACCAACGAATTAACAGCACAACTTGGGCCAAAGAACTTTATGGTCGATTTCACATGGTTGTTACAATCCACTATCTCCATGCCACCATCCTTCATCAGCTACTTTCAACAGAAAAATATTTATAAAAAAACCACAACAGCAGGATAAAAATCGAAATGATTGAGTATTGATAAATGAACTTGCATTGTAAATAGGTGTGACCCATCCAGCCAGCATACCAACACCAGCAAAGCAAGCCTTCTTGCCCCTCAGATCTCTCATATGGTGCACATCGGGCAATTTACCCTTTTTGACGACAGCCACCGCATACTGATAGTTGACCCCACTCTCATAGATCTCCTGCATTATAGGCACCAGACTGTGATATCTGCCCCCAACAAACACCTCGCCGGCATCCAAGGTGGTGAGCTGCGCCTTCTCTTGATCCAACATGGACATGCACTCATCCTTGTTGAAGGCTTGTTTGCACTTTATGGAGATGTAGAAATTTCTGAAGGATGCTATCTCACTGTCCACTGCCCTGGCGAATTCAAGGCACTTGTTCTGTTCGCTGTCTGACGTTGTACACCACGTTGCTGTGTTGTTTAAATTTTGCCCTGATAAACAAAAATCATTTGCAATCAATCAACTTTCCTTGTATAAAAATCAATTTGTAATTACTTTTTTGGTCTACGTCATCAACTAGCACACATTATGTACAACAAATTCAATTCACTTGAACATCAATGAGACACAAGTATGATGATGATGACGAGGACGCAGCATCAATAGCATCACCGATGGTGCTCCAAAACAATTTAAGCGTGATTCTTACCTGCACAGCTACCAAACACTACAAAAAGCAGGGTAGACAACAAAACAAGTCTCTGTGAAGGATTGCGTGTCCACATTTTTGCGTATGACGATTTGATTGTTATTAAACGAACAAAAAACAAGCAGCCCAAGCACGCAGGGCGTGCGAGAACATTAAAATTGTACGCTGGCCACTGGGTCCCGCAAGAATGATGCCAACGCCCTGTACACTGTATGAACTTTGATATATCTATATACATGCACTACTGGTTGAACTGGTGTGTACTAACACTACCACATTCATACATGGGGGTACCTAACTCAACCTTAAGGGCAGCGGCGGCGGGTGTTTTCCTATATATATAGGTGTATATATACGTTGATTGTTACCGATCTATTACCGATCTGTTACCGATCTCCGATGATTCGTCCCTTTTTTTAGGAATATATACTACTTATTATGCAATGGGCTTCGATCGTTGGATATAACACGTTAAACATATGAATTATAAATTTATGAGTAAGGTAGCCAACTGTGCATTATTTTGATGAACAATCGCCAGTACTTATGCATACATGTATTTTTTTAATACAAATACAATGTATAATGTTTTATTGGAAAATATCTTGTAGTACTGAAAACCGATTTGCCCCAAACTTCAAATGTTTATTTATTTTATATAGGCAGAGTTCCAAAGAAACAACAATATAATGCACATGTAACCTAAAAAAAAAAACAAAAAGAAAAAAGAAAAATTATGATGGACTCGAGGGGACGAAACGGTTAATTAGGAAAAAGTGCGCGTCAAAGTGAAAATGTTGTAAAACAAAGAAAAAAAAAAAGAGGAAAAAACTCTGCGTCTCGTGTAATGTTTTGGAAAATAGAACCCGAAATGTTTGTATTTTAACCGATTATATAATANGTCAAAAAACGATGCGCAATACTATACTCCCGCGACATGTATAAGCATACTGAGATATAAGGGCACGTATAGGAGAGATGATTTTGGTGCTCAATTGCAGAGGCGCCAATTCGATTCAAGGCCAAAGTCATGCGTGCCGGTGCAATGTATATGATCTCGCCTCCTTTTTTTTTTTTTTTTTTTTTTTTTTTTTAAATAAAACAAAATAAACATAAGCCACTTTGGAGAAAATAATGCTGTAGTTGAAATTATAATCAAATTATAATAAAAGGCAGGATAACAGTGGACAAAACAAACAAATAAAAAAAAAAGAAGTGGAGAACGAACAAAAAATCGAGAGTCTAAAAAGAATGTCTTTTTTGTGTGTAATAATCTTCTTCTTCATGTACACCAACATACCATTCTGCATGTGTGCGTGCCGCTGAACGTACTTTGACTAGGTGTGAATCGTTTTTCACCTTTTAAAAAAAAAAAATGTAATTTGTCGTTTGACAATAACTGTGGTAGTGCTCACATTGACCAGTAAAGTGATTGTGTGTCAAAATACGTTCGGCTCGCGTGATTGGACGTATAAGGCGTTCAGTGATTTTAGAAAGTATATGGCTGATTTAATCTTGAAAGCATTACATAGAATAGAGTCGAATTTCCTTTTTTTTTCCATCTACAACTATATGTGTATCTTGTGATGGAATCATATTAAAATGCTACAATAATCATTAGCAATTTAATGCAAACATATTTCATCGACTCTATTCTTTAACAGTTGAGTATACAAAAAACAACAGATTGTGTTAAAAATATGATTGTGATTCATGTTCCACATGTAACAAAACATTTGTCAAAAAAAAACCCATGCAACATGTGATTGTGAGCGATATTGGCAGCAGCACATTTAAAGCAGCAAATGAAAATGAAACGTGATCAGTGGTTTACAACTAAAATTATGGTTAACACTTTGTCAAGTATATATTTCGTATTTTCGGTTAAAACGTGTGCCATAAACTCTATGTATAATCAAAACATTGTTAATAGTGATTAGCGGACGAAATACCACATTCAAATCTACGGCAATCACCAAATGTAAACTGTATCCTCGTTAAAATCAAATTACAATTGTTAAAAGTGTTAATCTACGATTACACGTGTGTATTAAGAAAAAAAAAAAAAAAAAAACAAAAACAAAGATCCAACGAAAATGTCGGTGCGCCGATCGAAAAGGTAATCAAGAGATACGATCCACGTACGAATCGTACATGAAACCTCGAAAGGATAATCGTTTTTATTTGTTTCCTACAGAGCAAAACCTGTAGCGGAGCTGAAACCCTACGGTTTCTGCTGCCGCGCCGATACCGATTTACCGAGGTACGGCCGCAACCCGGGCATCCGCAGCTCGCTGGACAGCCTTCGGTCGTTGCACGAGTGCCCGGCCCTCCGGCTCGTTACCCAAGAAATCGTCAAGCGACCGAAACGACCAGCCGGCGATGCCGTAGACTGGAACGATCATCACCAAAGCTCAACCGCTGCGGGTGGGGCCCTGTTGGGCTCCGCGGGGGGTAGGATGTCGCGACACCTCATGCCGACCGAGAGCGAGATCGAGCTACTGATCGACGAGTCGAGGAAGAGGAGGCAGGAGGAATACGAGCGGAACATGGACCGATGGGCCGAGTTGGCTGAGAAGCGGAGTAAGAGAGATCACTTTATTTTTTTTTTTTTTTTCCAATGCAACTCCTCGTTGTTGTTTGGGCACATATTAGCGTAAAAATTGGATTGCGTTTATGCGCACAGTTATCCAGCAGAGCAAGAGGAAAATCAAGTGCCCGGCACCCTGTTGGTACACGGAGTTTTCGGACGTGCAGGTGTTACAAGTTTAAAATACAGTGTCCATCCAGCAAAGATATATTTCTTTTCTTTTTTTTTTTTACACATTCCCGTGCAACAGTTGAGACACTTGCGAGAACTGGAGGACGAAATGTTCAAGGACAAGGAGGAAAAAACGATCGACAGAACCGAGAGCTGCCTCGGCTCCATGGGCATGGTGACGGAGGTGGCGCGAGTCGAGCCGAGGGTCATGCGACGTCTGATCGTCGAGTACAGCGAGGATCCGTTGACGTTTCTGCGCGAGGTCTACAAAGCTCTCAACGGCCGGTACTTCGAAGAGGAGGGATCGAGTATTTGAATCTATGAACACATACGTATCCGCATTGAAAAGAATCCCACGTTCTCAGGCGTGAATTTTTAAAATACAGAAAACGTGTACCTCTGCCACGAGAGGGTCCTCTTGTCGGGCATCGTCTTTCTGGAACTGCCCAGAGTCATCGAGGCGCTGCACGAGAGGCTACCACCCGTCGACGAGTGGTCCTTCCCACCAAAACGTAACGGTTTCTTCCATACGCATAGGTGGTTTTTTTCCGTTTGAATCGACGGTCGATTTTAATTTAAAAACAACGACCAGCCGAGCGGCCCGTCGTGAAGATACCCAGGAAAGTGAGCGAGTCCCCGTTGCTCGAGAAGTTGAGGCTGCCTTACAACTGGAGACTGTACCGGACGCGCTTGTTCGAATGGCACGTAAAGTGTTCGAGCAGTGCGCGACCGGTAGCCATTTTGCCGAAGAAAAAATCCCCTCAGGAGGATACAGCCAGACCTACGGATGTCGTTGAACCTAAGATCGAAGAAGTGACCGAGGATACGACAAACAATGGGCTCGAAAAGGATGACAATGAACCGATGAAGACTGATGAAGTCGACGAATCCGAGGTTCGAGAAGACGTTGAAACTGCCGATACCGAGGTTCCGGAGACCCGTGGCAGAGACTTGTACCAGATGAAAAGTCAGTTTATACACATTGCCTTGGGAATCAAAACAAAAAGTATACGGACGTCTAATGTATAAACGTTGGTTTCAGCCGACTGGACAACTCCGCAGACTCCCTGCCCGTACAAGTACCGCCGGCTGCTCGACCAACGAGGCCCCCTGGCGACGGACGAGCAATTCTTCACGGAGTTGAACAGAACCGGCGACGAGGGGAAAAGGGAGTTCCCGGCTGGTAGGGAGAACTTGTCCCCCAAGATGCGGAGCTTCCTCTGCGACGTGGAGGCGGACTTTTTCGAGTTGACCCGGGAAGCCGATCGCATCACCGGGGCCGTCAACGACGTCGTCAAGGAGATGCAGGTAGCCGAGTTCGCTTGCGACGCCTGCTGCGCTTGCCAGCAGATCAAGAAGCAACACATCAGGTGGCACGCCGACAAGTCCCCTTACGGTGTCATCGACGGGGTTAACTTGGACGAGGATGGCAACGGGTATCCATGTTCAAATTGTGTTTTTCCACACAAGTTTCAATTGTACTCTCTTCCAGACAGGTGATTGGCGCCATAGCCTTGCACTCGCCGGCCTCGAGCATGTCCTCGCTGAGCCAGCCGGTGTGCGTCCCGTCAAAGGAAAAACTCGTCAAGAACAAGATTATCGCCGGTGCCATCGCGGCAGACGACGGCGAAGTGGTTAACCTCATAGATGGCTGTACAAAGGCCCTCGAGCACGTGTCAGCCGAGTGCTTGCGCTCCGCTTGCGCGGGCGGGGTGAAGAACGTGCCCCCTTGCGGATGCTCGACCGAAGATACGGGAAGAGATGACGAGGAACCGACAGATTCAAAGTACGAGAGCGTGTGCTTCGGTAAGAAGTTTCGTCCCGACGAGGGCCCGGCTTACGAGTGTCCGGAGTTTGGTGGGCAGACGACAGAGGTGGCCGACGATGACTGTGGCTGCGAAGAGGGCGCTCCCGAGTGTTCCGAAGAGGGCGCTGACGACGAGCTGCCCGAAGACGGGGACTGTTGCAGGGCTTACCTGGAAGAGAAACCAGAGAAGCAGAAGAAAAAGGTTTGAAACTACCCCCTCGAAACTATGGTGGGGGATGGAGACTTGATAATTTTTCGGGTGGTTTTTTTAAGGAGGAGTGCAACGTGTGCAAAAAGTGCGGGAAAAGGCAGGCAACACCGTGCGGAAAGAAGAAAGGGAATAGCAAAAATTGCGACTGCGAGAGCCTGTCGGAGTTCTTACGGATGGACCTAACGGAGTTGAAATGCGCCAAGCCACCGAGGAAACAGTTTTTCCGGGAGTCGCAAAAGGGGATAAAGAAACCGCGCCTCGACAAGTCAAAGTGCAAACAACAAAAACGCGAGGTTCAGGGGGACCAGGTGAAGGCCAAAAAGGCTCGCGACAAGCGGCCAAAGCGCGTGTCGAGGGCGAAAGAGTGCAGCAAGGAACGGTCCGAGGAGGCCAGTTTGCCAGAAAATACCTGCGAGGTGGCGCGTGAGTTGTTTGTATACCGATAATTCATTGCTTTGGCGAAGCAAACCGATAAAATTGAAAAAAAAAAAAAAATAAATAAATAAATAAAAATGCAGCGGGTGAAAGTGGCGGCCCCTACGGCTACAGGACGGCCTCCGAGGAGGCCCTACCTACCGAGCGTACAATCGCCTACTTGGTGAACCGGTGTCCCCCGGATACCCCTGCAGAGATGGTAGCCGTGCGCGAGGGCGGTCGCGCCTGTCGGTGTCGCGAGAATCGAAACAATCGCAAGACCCTCTTATACAACGTCGGAGCCGTGAGCGACGAATCGGGACGAGGGGCGGACTCGACGCAGGTTGTCGAGGGAGTTTGTTGGCTGACGCCGGTGCCGAGCATCAGGCGGAGCGACGAGTACATACCCGAGTACGAGTTGTACGACTCTCCGTACGGCAGACCGAGGAAACCTGATGCTCCGGTGAACGACAATAAAGGTGAGTTTTTTTTCCCGACGACAGCCCTTGGTTTTTTTTTCTACCATCTCCGGCAAATGTATTTCTTTCGATGCACCGTATGTGTGTTTGAACATGTTAATCGACCAATCACTCGTGTGTAATACTTGGGAAAAATCCCAGATGCGGATGACGTCGACAAAACCAGGGCGCGCGAAAAGGGCTGGCACAATGCGGCCAAGGACGAATACTTGACGGACTTTTTCACGAAGAAGCGCGATGGAGGCGGCTGCGGCGACGCGTGCCCAAAGTGCAGGACAACCAACGCCGAGCCGCGCAAGCTGAAAGTCATGAAGCCCGTGTGCGAGTGCGGCTACGAGAGGAAGATCGTCAAGAGAAACGAGGACCGGCAGAGGTGGGCCGAGCGCCAGAAGCGACTCAAGGCCATGGATAAGGAGGCTTGTGTGCACGTCACCGAGATATCGGGACAAGTCGAGGAGACTGCCGAGGAGGAGCCCGTTCGATGTGGTAAAACGGACAACCGAGCGTTGACGGTCGTGGCCGACGTGGTGATGCAGACGCCATGCGTTACCCCAAGCCCGAGCCAACACTCGCCGTTGTTTGCTCCGCTCGGGGTGGACAAGGTGGTGACGACGTGTACACCCGATGGCTTGCCTGTCCAGCAAAAGGTGAATAAGGTCCCGGATGCGAACAAAAACGTCAAAGCTACAGTGCAGGAGGAGGCATCGGGAAATCAAAATCGGTCCAAGAGCAGAAACCGGTCGAGTGCAAGTGACCTGCTGAAAAACGGTGACGACAAAGCCGCCGTTGATAAGAACAATGAGGTGGCAGTGGGTGGAAAAGGAGAACAAAAGGATACCGATACGAAAGTGGTGCCCGGAGAAATCGGCAAGAGCGGGCAGAGGCGCGAGTCGGTTTATTACCGCAACATGGAGGAGGATCTGAAAAATCGGATCGGAGTAAGTACCGATCGGTATCGGAGGTGCGCGCGAAGGCTGGGTGTTTTGACGGAGGTTTGTTCAACAGGAGGAGCTGCAGAAAATGGCGCAAGAGGGCTTCGTGACGGTCAAGCTGCCAAATTATCACGAAATGCCGCAGATCTCGTACTGGATTTCTTATCGAGTTAGGGGCATGCGTGTCGCGGAAAAACACAAAAGTTAGTACACCAAGACGCGATGCGTTCTCTTTGACTCTATATGTTCATGTGTAAATATATATATACATATATATGTATATTTATTTTTGTTCAATCGTCCGCGTGATTTTCTTCTTCTTGACGCACCGACAGAAAAATTGATGAAGGAGTCGATGAAAGTGTGGGAAAAAATTGAGCACAATTTGAAGCCGGGCGTCGAGGCGGACGAGTTGCAAGTGTCGAGTAAAGAACGGAGCATGTTGAATTTCGGCTACGTCATGTATTGGAAGAGAAAGGTAATTTTGTTTAACGGAAAATTGCAAATTTCTTGGATGATTGTTGCTCATGGCGTTTTTAGATTGCAAAAAAACAACTGGAATTTTACACGAATCTACGCCAGGATGTCGTCAATTACGGTCGAACTACGTGGCGAACCATGGAGTACGGAAAGTTTCCGAACGTACTGTTCAAGCAAGCCTTTTTCACGTATTTCCCATGGAGGGAGAAGGATGCTTTCGTGTTTCGTCCTTTGTGAGGAGAGAATTCACCTGCAGAGATGAAAAAAGAAAAAAAAAAATTGTAAATTAAATTAATACATCTTTACTCATTTTTTTGTTTCCTTCTCATTTACACCACCCATAAAATCGTTAAAAAACCAATTCAAGTTTCATTAACTTTTTTTTTTTCACCATGATTTTAAGTACTCCACTTGTGGCAAATGAAAAAAAAAAAAAAAAAAAAAAAGCAATATGGGTTACACACATACATGAAAGAATAAATCGATTGCTTTGGTTAAAAAATACTCACATCTACTACTACGACGGTTGATTAAAATACAAATGCGAACTGCGCAAATTAATCTGAAAAAGCTATTACTTAGACTTTAATCCAGAGACGAAGTTTTTCCTATTCATCACTTGTGAATTATTCGCAGCCCTATATTTTGGACGGCCTTCCTGATATCTCCGAGAACAAAGTTAATTGTCCATTTTATTTATGATTTACTTGGTTACTCGTAATTTTTAATTTTTCCAACACGTGGTCCAATTGAAGTGGGGAATCACATGTTTTGCACTTGTAGATAAGTTAAGTATTATCTTGTATTTTTACTTTTTCACATACTACATGTATAGATCACGTCTATAACGCGTGGACTTCACACGTGGCACGATGACACGAAGAAACAGCCGATTGAAAAAAAATTATTTTAGTCAAAAAACGATGCGCAATACTATACTCCCGCGACATGTATAAGCATACTGAGATATAAGGGCACGTATATCTCAGTTGCGCAATACTATACTCCCGCGACATGTATAAGCATACTGAGATATAAGGGCACGTATAGGAGAGATGATTTTGGTGCTCAATTGCAGAGGCGCCAATTCGATTCAAGGCCAAAGTCATGCGTGCCGGTGCAATGTATATGATCTCGCAGCTACGGTTTATGCACGAGCTTCGTATAATTAAAGAAAAACTAATTTTCTCATGTTACCATGAACGTTTTTTTTTTTTTTTTTACTTTATTGATAACGCTCGTTGCAAAAGTCAATCGGCTTATCGTTACCCGAGTTTAAATTGATAACAACAAATATCACACCATCAGCTCCAACGTATCTTCGATGTACAAGATAGATAAAAATTCTACCTAAAAATTGCAGCACATTGCAAAGCAACAAAACAAACGAATCGTTTTTTCATTGCATGTAGTAATAAATACAATATCAAGTTAGCCTCCCTCGGATGCTCCGAGTCAATATAAAAATTCCAACTTTTGTAATCGAGAAAATATCGTCAGATTATCTTGATTAGTATCGTAGAAATGTCGTTTTTCTTTTCCTATAATGTTTTCCACGAATGATAGAAATATTGGAAGAAAAATATTATATTTGCTATAAATGATGCAATACGACATTATACAAATGGTCAATATTATTTCTGCACGTGGTACTATTAACATCGGTGCAGAGCCTCTGTTCTTTTATCAAGTATTTTTTTTTTTTTTTTTTTTTTGCACTGATAATGCGGTTTGTTTAGATGACAAAGATTGAACACTTTTTTTTGCTATGCAAGTAATTTTTTCGTACGCAAGATATTTTTTAAAACAAACATATGAGCAATATTTATATAAGTACCTATACTTATAAACCAAATAATATACTTAGGTTGTCAGACGCAAAAAAGAAAGAGAAATAATTTTAATCTATGACAAGATGTTGCAGTCAATGAAGTCAAAACACAAGTTGCATCGACGATGCCGGGTACTTAGCCTTAATTCCATAAGTACTTGATGATTCTACAATTTTTATGCATCCATCGCTATATTTCATTATAATAACTATTCGAAATCGGCAATCGAAATCGGCAATTGTAGCGAATCGTTGAAAGAAATAAATGAGCACTGGAAAATTAAAACCTAGCCGAAAACAAAAAAGTATCCATACATGTATGTCACAAGTGAATCCTTTAAAGATTGACAATGCATATAAATACAACAATTTAATAACAATATACTTTTTTTTTTTTTATCAGCTTATACAACGAAGTAACCTTATGTCGTATTGTGAAACTAATTATTCGTCGAATCATATCAGCAAACACAATTGTTTATTACAAATCAAGACCTTTTCTAACATATAATACGAGTCTACTTTTGAGATGGAAATTAACAGTGACATCACATATCCAACTGAAAGTACATAAAAACACGTAGCTCTGCAGGAGTCGTCGCCTCACGTATTACGAACAATTCAAGTTTGTTAAAGGCTTATCGTGCACACGTAATTTCAGTAATGGACTACACGTGTGTGTACAACATAAAATGACTTTGACATGTTCCACGTTATCTCATACATTTATACTTTGTTTTTATACCTCTCGTAGATTGAATATATCCATCCAATCGATAGTGTGAAAAAAATAGCACAGAAATTCAATACATTTAATGCACAGGACGACGCGGAGATGTCATCGATTGGAAAAATTAATTAAAGTTAAAAACTATACGTTGAAAATATACCAGTAGTAGTGATCTCATACCCAAGTGCATTTTGTATTGCGTAAAAAAACGACGTGACGATTTCGATGTGCGAACCGTTCCATCATTTGGTAGCGCCGATCCGATTCAAGGAAACACGTCAAGGTCAACGTCGAGTGTCAATGCAATGCACGCCACTTCTTTCGCACGCGTCTAGTTTTTCAAATAAAAATGCAAATCGTCAGTTATACATATAGAATATAATCCAACGAAACGCCCATTGCAAATAAACTGTGTATCAGACCCCAAGAAAATGTTGCATGGATTTCCAAAGGAAACAACAAAAACTAATACCTTAATTGTCGGCTACATCGAACAATCTTATATGTATATATATGTATAAAGTAACGTGCCCGCAACACGCAAGACCCAAACAATCGGGTAATCAACAAAAGCCCAACAACATTTGCCATTTTTCGTTACCCGTCTATCAATCACTGTATTTAGTTGGGATGTTGTGTATGCACGTGTGTATCATACAGAGATGAGTAAGATGAGGCGAAAAAGAGGGGGGATGCCAGTGAAGCGACGGCCCCACGATCAGGTGGAGCGTCGCAGTGGCTTCCTAGCGATCGCTCCCAAAGCATGGATCTCTGGACTAAAGCTCTGCTCGCGATCGCGTGCGGTTGGCTGTACTACTACTTCAAAAGGAGGCTGAGCTACTTCAAGGACGTTGGGGTGCCCTACTGCCCGGGATGGCCGGTACTGGGGAGCATGGGATCGGTGCTGTTTCGCCGAAAGCACTTTGTCGAGATGATCCAGGATCTGTACAACTCGCACCCGGAGGCCAAGTACGTGGGCGCGTTCGACTTTGTGCGGCCGGTGCTGGTGCTACGGGACCCCGAGCTCATCAAGTCCATCGGCATCAAGCACTTTGAGGACTTCCCCGACCACAAGTCGTTCATCGACGACACGGTCGACCCCCTCTTCGGCGCCAACCTCTTCAACATCACCGGGGACAAGTGGAAGGAGACCCGCGCCCTCCTCTCCCCAACCTTCACCTCGAGCAAGATGAAGCAAATGTACGAGCTGATCGTCGAGTGCGCCCGCAACTTCAACGATTACCTGGCCGAGCAGCCGAGGAGCGCCTTGGCCATGGTGGCGACCAAGGACCTCTTCACCAAGTACACCAACGACGTGGTGGGTAAGTTACACCCCGAGAATTGGCATGACACGCATCCTCCGCCAATGTGGGCTATAACAATACAGCCCTTTCTTTGATTTCGCAGCCACGAGCGCCTTTGGGATCGAGGTGAACACGCTGAAGGACCCGAACAACGATTTCTACGTCCTTGGGAAGGAGGCAACCAACCTGGAGGGCCTGCAGTCCCTCAAGTTCTTCTTGGCCCGGGCGTTCCCGCAAGTGATGAAGGCCCTGCGCATAAGGTTCGTCCGGGAGAAGATAGCCAACTTCTTCGAGGCCATCATTGGCGACGCCATCAAGACGCGGGACGCCAAGGGCATCAGGAGGCCGGACATGCTGCAACTGATGATGGACGCCCGGGAGAAGGGGGCCGGCAAGCACGTGAAGCTCGACATCACCAACATGACGGCCCAGGCGTTCATATTTTTCTTCGGGGGCTTCGACACCTCCTCGACCCAGATGTGCATCATAGCCCACGAGCTGACCATCAACCCCGACATCCAGAAGCGATTGCAACGAGAAATCGACGAGGTGATGAAGCGCACGGGGGGCCAGCCCAAGTACGAGGACGTTAACTCGATGCTGTACCTGGACGCGGTGTTCAACGAGTCGATGAGGCGCCACAGCCAGGGCTCGTTGCTCGACCGGCTCTGCGTCAAGGCGTTCGAGTTGCCCCCGGCCGTGCCCGGGGCCCCGCCCTTTGTCGTCCAACCGGGCATGAACGTGTGGATACCCGCGGCCGGTATACACATGGACCCCAAGTACTACGAGAACCCGAAAAAGTTCGACCCGGACAGGTATTACCAGAAGAAGGTGAGCATCAACGACGTGAACAATTTGGGATTCGGGATCGGGCCCAGGGCGTGCATCGGCAATAGGTTCGCCATCCTCGAGACCAAGGTGTTGTTCTTCTTTTTGCTGTCCAAGTACAACTTGGTGCCGAACGCGAAGACGCGCGTGCCCTTTGATTACAGCAAGGATGGGTTCGTCATCAAGCCCATTGGGGGCTACTGGCTGGCCATTGAGCCCCGCGCGTAGGTAGGGACGCGACTGTTTTTTTTTTTTTTTTTTTTTTTTCATTGGAGGTTTGTTGGTTTATCATTTCCTAACGATATGTATTTTTTACTTATTTAAATTTGATATTTCTTCAACACGAAATTTGCAGTGTATCACCATATGTCAACTGAATGAAAAAAAAAAAAAAAAACAAGAGTGTACGAGGAAAACGCGCGGTACTTGTGACTAAGAACTTGGAGATGTTTTCATGTGATATAAAATTTATTGAAAAATGTCTAATTAATTGTTTTGATTTGCTTTCCCGCTCCTCATTGACAATCTTCCTTTTGATAAAAAGTTTTTTTCATCTGTTCGTTATCTCGTAGAATCACAGATAGACATCTAATGCGTTTGATGAACATCGACGCAACGATGTCATTTTATCTTATCGTTTGCATGTACTGTCTTTTCTACGTGTACGTGTCACGTCACTATAATGACATGCAAAATTCATTACCGGAGTGTATGTTGTATGCTCGATGACATTTATGAATTGAATAGCTTCAATCCATTAGTATGTCCTCTAGATGCCCGCGTGTTTCGCGTAAGCCTTTTAGTTTTGCACGTGGAAAACGTTCTTATACGACGATATTTTCAATCACAAAAGTTGGAATTTTCGTAACAATTTAAATGTATTACGACTTGTTTACCGTATTCGAATCGGTTATTTGGTTGTACAGAATATTGGGCTGTTACCCTTACGTTCTTCGAGAATACGATGACGCGAGGAAATACATCCTTAGCCCATTCTCGGTTACGTTCAACATTTTATTATTCATCATCGGTACGAAATACTTTGTCGTCTATGCCGACACAGTAATTAATAACTATGAGTAAGTTTTTTTTTTTTTTTTTTTTTTGTGAGTTACGCTAACGTATTGGTGGACTTGGGCATGGATATTTTTGCAATGTAACTAATTTTTTATGCTGAAACATTTTTTTTTGAACTGCTACTTTAAATATAATTACTACTTTAATTACTACTTTGATTAAAATATTTGAAATATTAAAAATTGATGTCATGTACTTTAGTTAACAATATTATATAATATAGGATGTGTTGAACTTATCTGCCAAAAAAAAATAGTCGTGGATAAAAAAATTATTCAGAAATAAAGAAATGGACTTTGTTAGGAAAAAAAGTGTTTGAAAATCAAGAAAATAAGTGCACCTAAGCCTGCGTATTGAAATGTTATTCATCGCAAAATCATTTTTTCAGTCTCAACAGCGACTCATTGGGCATTATGACACTGGGTGTAAGACAATTTTCAAATATGATTTGCGTGTTTGATTCCACAATTGTAAAAATATTTCACAGTGGAAAGGTCATCACATAATTTGGTCTTTTTTTCATTTTTTTTTCTTCATTGAAAAACAAAAACTTTTTTATTTTTAGATTTTACGTTCAATAAACAGCCTTTATTCTGTGGACGAAGAGCTGAAAAATCTTGGGTACCATTTCAATTACAGATTGGCCGTCAGAACAGTCCCAATATGCTTAATTGCGTTTCTAACGTCCATGTACCTGTTCATAAACACGGAATTTTTACTCTTGGTCGATCTGTAAGAATGCGACTAATTCGTATTTGTGCATGCGTGTGTTAAAAAAAAAAAAAAAAAAGAAAAAAAAATGTGTATCCTTCAGACCCATTCCATCTCTGATGAGACTATTTGGGAATTCGATGATTCTCTTACAAATGGCAAACATCACCTTATTTTCGTTCCTAATCACAAACGTGGGCTTCAGACTGAAAGCCCTAAACGCAAGTCTGGAAAATCTAACCGATTGCTACACCGAGAATCCAAAGGTACACACATCGATGAAAATGAGTCACCTCATCCACGCGCGCGAAACTTCAAATTAATTTGACTTGCAAATCAATGCGAATACATCACCCATTGAATTTCCAGGTGATAATGGTAAACAACAAAAAACCGGAAGACATCGTTCATACCTCGGCGAAAATTCACGCCCGACTGTGCGAGGTTGCAAAATTGTTGAACGGCGCGTTTGTTCTGACCATCGTGAGTTTAAAACAAAGACCAAAGTTTCAACGACAGCGGATGAACGTGCACGTTTTTTTTTTTTCATCTTGGGTGTTTTCTTGCTGTCCCAAAGGTGACCAGCGTCGTGCAAGCGTTCGTCATATCCACGGCCATGCTGTACTTCATCTTTATCGAATTCAAGACTGGACTGGCCAACGAGTTTCTCATAATGATGCCTTACCTCACGATGCTGCTCATTTGCGTACTCGTGGTCCTCGTCATCGTATTGAGCTGCAATTGGACGAGTAGCCAGGTTGACGTCCCGTGTATACACATACTACATTATTGCTTTCCATTGTCATTTGTAACAACCATGTACAACTTTAGATAGCCGGCACGGCGAAAATTTTGCACCAAATGTCTTTGAAAAAAATGTGCATGGACGACAAATCTCTCGACGAAATGGTAATCCATTATCTTTTTTTTTTTTTTTTTTTTTTTGCAAGACTCGCGATCGAATCGAAAAAAAAAAATCTGCGGTTGTGATGGGCCAAGTAATATGGGGAGGGGAGGATGGCAGTAAAAAAAAAGTATAAACAGGTATCACCAGAAAGAGCGTGATACATTCGGGGGTGCATTCGTCGTTGCTGCGGCAGTGTGTTACGGCAGTGGCTTGACACATAAGAGGGGGGGGGGGGGGGGGAATCGTTCCGG